GATGCTGGCAATGCTGGCGGGGCGACTGGGTGCTTCTCAGAAGTGACTCCCCTTCCAGGAAGAGCACGGGGATCACGGCCAAAACCTCCCCATTTTGTACAGCACACACCTTAAAACCAGAGCCAAGAATCAACATTTCTTGTCGGTATAATGTGGGCTGTGGCAGCCCAGTTGAAGAACAAAAACCCAGTTGTTTTCAGGTTACAACAATACTGGCACTTGTAGCCCAGACTGATTATTGCTAACACCCCTCAGTAATGCAATGAAAGCTATTAGAGACCAGCTTTTGGGGTGCTGTGCTCCCCCTCCCAGCGGGCTGCTGCAGTGAGCTGCAGCCCTCCCAGCTCTTCAGCAGCAGCACATCCTCCTCCTCAGTCTTGGGAGAACTTGTGGTTGTTTTCACATGATCCCACCCCTCTGGTAGTCCACACACCCCAGGCTGCGGCTCCTGAGCTCAGCCTGGATGTTGTTAGACCCTCCCGTGGCTCACGGCTTCTGCTCAGGGCCGAGCAGAGCATCTCCTTGCAGGCACTCGGCCCCCGCTCCTGGTGTGGTCCCACCATCCCCTGGGCAGGTCCACGGGGACCCCGAGCTCCTCGCAGCCACTGCATGGCTGCAAAGGGCTTAATGTTACAGCCAATATGTTTTGTGCAATTAACAACCTTGCGTGATGATTAAAGAGACAACGGTGGGCTGTTAAGTGAGGCTCGTGGTTGCCTCGCCTGTGGAAGAGCTTCTCCAGAGGGATCCACCACCCCGAGGAGCGCCCTGCCTCTCCCACGGCCACGGTGCCCTTGCAATTGGGAGGCACTTTTGGCTCCTCTCCCGGCTGCCGGGCTGACTACCTGGTTCTTTGCTGCAGTAGCCTTTGGCTGCTCTAATATTGTGAGTGCTTAAAATTGACTCCCGAAGACACTGGGTTTATCCCAGTAACAATTCCAGTCTCGGCACTGGCGGTAAAGGCAGAGCTGTTTCTGAGGGTTTTGTCTCAAAATCACTTTCTATCAAAGCCCCTTCCTTCACGGTGGCTGTATTACAAAAGCAGACCCTGTCACCCACGTTTCGTGCCAGAAACCAGACCGAGGTGCATGGGCAGAGCCCAGCGCTGAGCCACGAGCCCTGGGGCTGCTGGTGGGAGCTGCAGGATTCTCCCCACTCCCTCCTCCTCCTCCATC